CAAAATCTGGGATGCATAATATTTGACGGTTATGCCAATATAACCGTCAAATATACTAAATACTTGACGGTTGTTTTGAAGCAACCGTCAAGTATTTAGCACCTTTTTTATTTGTCATTTTTCACTTATAACCATCAAATATAAGCTGTCATATTTAGCTTAATTTGTTGTAGTGTGGGTAGAATTTTGAAAAGTTTTTGAACTGATCATCTCTCTCATGGATCCCGTGAAAAGAAAACAATATATAATTTCGATTTAAGGGTCTTCGGACTTCAAATATATGTATTGAGGAAAAAGAGGGTTTGGAATGTGGATGTTGGAATTTTGCCAAGTGGCTAAATGGTGGAGTGAAGTGGAAAATTATTGGTGGCCTGGTCATCCTTAAACCTTTCTGCCATTTTGATATTGATGTCGTTAGAGAGGAACTTTATAAAACATTTACCTCGAATAATTAACAAAAAAAATGGGAAATCGAAATAATTATTAAAGATGTACACAATTATGAATGCGCATATGACATGCATATAAAGGCTGAAGTTTACTTTTTGAGTCAAGGTCAAAAAAAAAAAGGAAGTTCGCATTATTCAGTATTCACATGGCTATGAAAGTCAATATTAAAAATCTTCCAAGTAAACTATCAAAGCTAATTAAACAAATGCATGCCAAAGCACTATTATTTGTCTTTTTAAACTTCAAAGCACTATTTAATGATATTCTTCTATTATTCCTAAAGAGCAATGAAAGTACTATTAGCATATAATATCCTCTCTATTTAAAAATGTAAGATATTTTTAATTGCATTACACACACCTCAATAAGTTAGTTAGTTATCTTTAAATTAATACCATCCTTCCAAGACAATTCTTATTTAATAGGGTGTCTTGGGTGATTTATGGTATTAAAGATTATTTTGAAAAAGCTTAATATAAATTATAGCTTAAAAAACTAAAAAGTTCTTATATTTGTGAACATTCAATCTAAAAAAATACCTTATATTTTTTAAACAAAAGGAGTGTTAATAAGACATATACAAGAATAATTAGAGAAAAATTTAGTAAAATATATCATATTTTTACATATTAATTGCAATTCTTAATTGAGGTGCACCAATCTTAAATAAAAAATATTTTTAAAACGAAATCATGGAGGATTAATTAGAGAGTAGTCATGCATCTAGTAGATATTCTAAAGGTTCAATAATGTGTAGTCATTTGAAGCTGTCTTCAAGTCACGCGTCAATAACCAATCGAATAATTTGTGGATTATAATAATTTAATGTCTTATTATCAAAGTCACTTTCGTTAATTAGCATAACGTATCTACTTTCAAGATGTGTAAATGTTTAAATATTTGATTGACATTTTTTTCCAACTAATATATATGTGATTGACTTTGTCAACATAAATACTGGACTTACTACAAGTTTCGGTGCATTTTTCGACTTTTCTCACAATTATTCTAAAATTAGGGCGTTACTTTCTCGTGTCGTGATTATAAGTTATTGTTTAAAACTTTTTCTTTTAAAAGGTTAAAGCACTAATTTATTCCTCAATTCTTTTTTTTTTTTTCACATGCACTGAATTCCTTCAAGTCAAAGGTGGTGTCACGTCACTCATGTATTAAAAGCAGACTAATATTGTTTCGTATGTTGAATGTTTATTAATTTAATTGTTAGTTGATTAAAAAATTTATAAAAAAAGAGCTGTACAAAATTATTAAGAAGTATTAAATAAGAAAATAAGAACAATTAATTCCTTAAATTTCAAATGTATCTAAGAGAATGCAGTTACCCAAGGATCAATTGATTACCATTAACAATAACACCCGTGAACAATTAAAAATATTATATAATTACTTTAATAATGATAAATTATCACTTTAAATCTTTTTAAATATAAATTATTGGAAAGTATTATTCATGAGTAGATAAATAATATATCATTCAGTTTACCACAATTAAATGTGGACGACAACCCATCATATAGGTCTCAATAGCCATATATATTTTTAGAAAGTCAATGCAGTGATTGTGATTAATTTGCCAGATAGTTTTGCATGCATATTAAAAATATTATTTTTAATTACCATATAATGATTATAAAAAATCATTACAGCTATATAACAGTATAATGGGCAGACTTCGTTAACCTTTTAAAACCTGAAATCTTATTTGCAAGGTGCTTTTAAGTCCCATATCAAAGTTGTTAATTAGCATGATATAAAGTTTTATTGAAAATTTTATCTTTTTCATACGAAAGTTTGGATGAGTTATGGATCCTGAGATTATTATTTTTGTTTTTTGTTTTTTTTTGTTTTGCAAACCTATAAACAAATTGCTAGCAAACGTTTGAAGCCACAAAACTAGGTGACCTTGATTGTAAGAGCAAGGATTCAATGTTTAGAGCATATTTGATATGTGAAGTTTTGTGAACTTGCACTTAAGGGGAAAAATGTCAGGTTATTTAAGTGGGGTTGAGTTTAAGTTGACTAGATAAAGTTAGACTTAATAACTAAAATATAATAAGGAGGAATGACCTATAAGCTTAAGTCTTGAAATTTAAGTTAAGATATGACGTTTTTTCATTTTACTTGTCCTCTTCCTCTATTTCTAGAAGATCGCTTCTCATTTCTAGTACACATAATAGCTAGTATTTCAAGAGAAATGTTGAATTTCAAAATGTTAGCAATATTGGAGATAAAATAAAATTGAAGAGGAAAGTGATGAGAAAGAACTACAAGATTTATGAGCTTTTAAAAAATGTGGGTTTGACTCAAGGTTGTTGATGTGGATCTCTCGAGTAACGCGTGAATTGGACGCGGACATTTCTTGATCTCATGGTCTATGGCCAATTTGCATATAATTAATTTTAAAATTTAAAATTGAACTAAATTACAAAGCTTGTTCAGAATGTTGAGGAATAGAGATTTATTATTATATATATATATATATAACTGAGAGCAGAGTGGAGTTTGGAGCTCAAGATTAACGGAGGCTCACAGACTTTAAGGATTAAGTGTATTGGACTCTGTAAGCTTCATTTACTTCTACTCTATGCCCTTTATTATCTCTTGCTCGTTCAATATAATACACTTATTGTGTTCTGTGTGTGTGTGTGTTTTTTTTTTCATTTAATTTGTTAGTTTCCGTGACATTAAGCATAGTTTAGTCCTTATTGAATCACTTATCTGTCTTTTCTTTTAATAGTATAATACAATTACTTGGTATGTTACAATCTCTATCCTTTCATTTGGAATTAGAGAAAGATAGACAAGAAAGAAAACCGGGAGAGAGAGTAGTAGAAATTTTTCTTTTCTTATCTTAAAGTTTTCCCTTTTGTAATTTTCCCCTTTCTAGAAGAAATTAAGGGGAAAAACAATAGTGAAAAATATCTTTTTTCCCTTGTTTTTTCTTTTAATCTTCTTTCCTCCCTATTTTCTTCTCATTCCAAACAAAGCCTAAGTTTTTATTTATCTTTACTTACTCTGGCATTCTTTAAAGAAATATTGTGTCACGAGTACAAGTCCCAAGAGAGAACCTATCCGAAAGATTAGCTTGTTAGGTAAGATAGCTCGCTTCACTTATGAAACTCTTAGATATGGAACTCATGATAAGCCACCCCTTTTGAGAGCTAACATCGTCAATATATCCATTCCATGATACTTTATTTAGCCTCCTGCCAGTTAGGACCCTTAATAAATAGCCTTTCTATGACACCAAACTCTCAATGAAATCACCTACCCACAAGTGGAGTGAGTCTCACATTAGTGAGTCTCACAAATAGGGTGAAAAATTATAAGTGTGAAAGGCTCACTAATCTAATAGGTTAATTTTTTGGAATAGGTCTTCTGCTTGGACTTGTATTCATAACACTAGGTCTTTTATTAAGAGACCGGTATCATGAAAAGAGTTATCCATAAAAGATTTTGATGAGTTTCGGCAATAAGCCTTCAAAAACTTATGATCTCACAAGATCAATTCTATTGATAAATAACATCTAACCATTTCTATCCAAAAGTTTATTTATTATTTACTTTACTTTAGTTTTTTTATTATTTACTTTAGTTTGTTCTTGTTAGATGGTTTAAATATGAATAGACTTGAGTTAATATAAAAAATAACAAAATTAAATTTAATTTTGTGTGTGTGTGTGTGTGTGTAAAGTGAAAGGACACACATGCCATCCATTACTTTTTGTCTATTTATACTCACCGGCCATTCTGGACTTCGCTACCCAATTTATTTTCCATTTCCTTACCGTTTTTCTACACCAATGATCCATATAACTTTATCAATAAGTTTCTGGTGAAGTCTAAACTTGAGATTCGACAATCAATACAAGCACCTTTTTTCTTTTCTTTTCTTTTTAAAAGGTTCGTATCGATTTTAATCATCAGGTATATTCTCCATTTATTTTCTGTTCTATGGTCCTCATACCTTGCGTGTTTCATTGTATCTGCATAATTAATAGTTTTGTATCGTATAACATAAAATGCTTCCAAGTCAGTGATAGCTACTTATCGAATCGCCAAAATAATTTTTATTAGAAACAAACCAATATAATGGTTATAATCATGCAGGACTATTATATTCAATATGGGGTCTCATCATGACAATGATATTGCCAAGCAAATAATTGTAGACATCCACAATGAGTCCTATGAACTTGGGTTGCCACCAAAGTGTTGCATCTACAAGGTTCCAGATAATCGTAGGAACGAAAAAGATGATCCCTTCACTCCTCATTTGGTCTCCATTGGCCCAAGCCATCATAACAATGACAAATTGAAGCCAATGGAAAATCAAAATATTTTTATTTTCATTTGTTTTTTTGGACAACTATTGGATGATGATGAGCACAAGAAGCAGAAATTATTAGAAGCTTACACAACCTGGCTTGGAGATGAAGAAGAAAATATAAGAAAATGTTATTCTGAAAAATTCATTAAGCTGGATAAGAAGCACTTTGTACATATGATGCCTGTTGGATTCAGTATTCATCATGGAGCTTTTCTTGAGAAGAAGTACTCAAAGTCAATACATTCATGATAACGATCCGTTATTTACGACAACGGTAAACACAAAGAACATTGAGAGGGATTTGTTACTACTTGAAAATCAACTTCCATTTTATATCTTAGAGAAATTATATGAGCTTGTTCCAACCACCAGACTACAAAAAGAGCATTCAAATTTCCTTGATCTTGCTCGCCAGTGGTTTAAAATTTATGATCCTTATCGTGCGTGGAGCAGACAAGAGATTAATAAGCGAATGAAGCTCAAGCAAGGTTGGGATCGGCCAAATCATTTTATTGATGTAATCAGATACATTTTTATTCCACGCCATTTTATCAATACAGGTTACTATGACAAGTTTGATCCAGTCATAAGGTCAACAACAAAGTTACAAAGGGTATGGATATCTTTTGAGCCAGTTTCTGAGAGATCTTTTCTTGATATTACATTCAAGAAAGTACCAATTTTAAGTTGGCTGGGTTTATATAGATCTCGTTTGCAGATCCCACAAGCAATGATAGATGATTTATCGGAGTTTATTTTAGGCAATCTCATTCTCTTCGAGCAGTATCATTATCCATATCATGCTTATATTTCAAGCTATGTTAACTTGATTGCTTGTCTCGTTCAAAAAGAGGGGGACGTGAATCTGCTGGTAGAGAGTGGAATTGTTCTTAATAAGCTATCAACCGATAAAGAACTCATAGATTTGTTCAGAACTCTTGACAATCAGCTTCAATTAGACTACTCTTGTTATAAGGATCTTTCATAGAAGCTACACAAACGTTACTACAGTCTTTTCTATCACAGTTTGGCTGTTGTATGGTTGTTGAACTTCAAGGACCTTTCAAGAGTCATTGCAACATTTTCAGGCTTACTTGTCATTGTTTTCCTCTATGTATGCCATTCTCGATGTGAAGAATAATGATAATAATTAGTAGTTCTTCGGTTTGTAACATCAGTTTATGCAAAAACAAAATAAACTTAGCTTTGTTTCATCACTCTCTATGTGTGATCGTGTTTTACCATTTATTGTATTGCAAATGTCTTGGTGGCACCGGTGGTAGACGTGGATGGCGAACTACAAACTGCTTAAGTCGTGCCTAAAAGGACACTGTCCTTAAGAACTATTTTGGCACACCGAACGACGGACTGATAGTTCCTCAGGATTAAAGAAGCACTTCTTGCAGAGCAAGGAAATAGAATAGCAAAAACTAAAACATAGCAAGACGAACAACACAGAGAGGGAGGAGAGAATTGCCCCGAAAACTCAAAAGGCTGGCAACTTGCTCTGTCTGCACCCATGGCTATATATAACCTAAAGATGGAGACATGAACGTTGGCCCATAATCACTAGATTAAAGCTTCGGTTACACACGTATAAAACACCATTAATATGAAGACGTTGGCAGACAAAAATGTTTGAGATATTAACTCACAAAATCGGTTAATCTGGAAACGTTGGCAGACAAAAATTTTTAAGACATTAACTCACAAAATTGATTTTCAAAAGTGGTTTAATGCCCAAAAAACTGCTAAGGCTTCAAGTTCAAATTCAAAATAGCAAAACTGGAGGTTTTTTGGGGAAGCTAAAATAATTATTTATTTAATTATTTTTATAAAAATAACCCGGTAAAAGGAACCCAGTGCCTCTTGAACTCGTGCGCAGGGGGCGAATCGGCTAATTTCAACTATGATTTGCCTATGTTGGCCTGTCTCATGTGCGTAAGGCTACTTCTCCTCCAAGCCCATTTTACTAGCCCGCTTCATTCCTTAGTATGTATATGCTAGGAGAGTCCTTCATTTAGTCAATGTGGGACTTTGACACACACACTTTTGACACACACACAACAATCCCCTACATGTGTCAAAAGGATCTATGTTTGTCTGAGTTATTCACATGGAGGATAATCACTTTAGATTTGGTGTCTGTCGACTTGAACCAAACCTAGACTAATAAAACTTAGCACACAGAAAAGTCGGTATAACTTCATTATTGAACCAACAGATCTTGAGCATGTGCTAGAGGTCTTATTAATCAGATTATACCCCCATCGTCTCTACTGTTAATGATGGTTTTGCACGTTATCGGCCATGTGCATGCTTGGTTTTAACAAATGCTCTTGAGATTTTGCCATGATCTCATAGGAGTGGCCCCACTCCACATTTGTATATGTGTTTTCATCAAGTATATCTACAATGAATACACCATCCATAAGGACTATGAAAACATTAAGAGCTTTCACTCAACCTCCATTCAATACATTTAGCACTTTCTCAAGTCATAGGAAAGGATAAAAATTCAGTGCTAGCAGAACTAACAAATGACTTGTTCTTACCCATCAGACCTCCTTTATGGGATCTCCAATCACAAAGGTTAGGTTGCCATCACTATTAATTTCAAACAGGCTTAAGTCCTATTCCCCTCGACGTTTCAATAATAAATTTCTTCCCTAGGGGCTTAGTTAACGGATCCACTAGATTTAACTCTGATCTCACATAATCGATTGAGATGACCCATCTTTGAGCAACTACCTTATAATATTATGTCTTAATCGAATATGTCTACTTTTACCATTAAAGGTCTTATTTTTAGCCGTTACTATTGCAGACTGGCTATCACAATGTAAAGACACTAATGGTGTGGGCTTTTCTCCTATTAGAATACTCGCTAAGAAGTTTTTCAACCACTCAGCCTTAGTTCCAGCCAGCTTCATGGCAATAAACACAGAGTCCCTTGAGAATTTTGTATTGATTATCTATTTTGCAGACTTTCAAGTTATTACACCACTACCAAGAGTGAATATATAACCACTAGTGGATTTTGTCTCTTCTAAATTTGAAATCCAGTTAACATCATTGTATCCTTCCAATACAACAGGAAATCCACTATACCATATACCATAATTCATGATACCTTTCAAATATCTCAAGACTCTTACCAGAGCCTCCTAGTGTTTACTACCTGGATAGTGGGTATATCTGCTCAATCTGCTTACAGCATAAGCTATATCAGGCCTAGTAAAATTCATCAAATGTAACAGACTCCCAATAATCTGTGCGTACTCAGATTGAGCAACTAGGTCACCCTTGTGCTTTTATAATTGCACACTCGAAATATAAGGAGTACTCAGAGGAGCATCTTCAAGATGTCCAAACTTTTTGAGAATTTTCTCAACATAATGTTCTTGAGAAAGCAAAATTCCATTTTCATTCCTTATGATTTTTACACCCAAGATTACCTTGGCTTCACCCATATACTTCATATCAAAATTTGAAGAAAGAAAATTTTTTGTTTTATTAACAACACACATACTAGAGCCAAAAATTAGCATGTCATCCACATACAAGCATATAATCACACAATCATTATTCACTAGTTTTGTATAAACACATCTTTCTACTTCAACAGTAGAAAATCCACCAGTTGTCAAAATTTGATTAAGTTTCTCATGCCATTGCTTAGGCGCTTATTTTAAGCCATACAAAAACTTGACAAATTTACAAACTTTATTTTCTTGCCTAAGAATCACACATTCCTCAGGCTATACCATGTAAATTTCTTCTTCCAAATTACCATTTAAAAAAGTGGTTTTTACATCCATTTGGTGAACAAAAAGCTTGTAAATTGAGGCTAAAGCAATAAGAACTCTTATAGAAGAAATTCTAGTCATAGGAGAAAATGTGTCAAAATAATCTATATTTTTCTTTTAAGTAAAAGCTTGGCCACAAGCCTTGCTTTATATTTATCAATTGAACCATTTGGAAAATATTTTTTCTTAAAACTCAATTTACACCCAATAGCCTTAGCTCCTTAGGGCAAATCTGCTAAAACCTAAGTTTTATTTTTCCTTAAAGAAACAATTTTAATTTCAATTGCTTCTTTTTAAAATTTGGCATTAGGAGAAGAAATAGCTTCATAAAAATTTAACGGTTCATCTTGCACTAAATAAGTGTAAAAATCATCTCCAAAATTTGTTTCTTTCCTTTGCCTTTTACTTCTCCTTAAAACCAAATCCTAATTTAAATTTTATTCAAACTTTGAATTCTCAACAGGTTTAGAAACATGCTTAATTTTCAAGGGAAAAATATGTTCAAAAAATTCAGCATCCTTAGTCTCTACAATTGTGTTTTGGTCTAAAAAATCACTTTTTGAAACTAAAAAATGATATGCTGTACTTTGTTCAGCATACCTAATAAGCATACAATTAGAAGTTTTAGAGCCAATTTTTCTCTTTGTAGGATCAAGCAATAAAACTTTTGTAAGACATCCCCACACTTTCAAATATTTTAAATTTGGGGTAAACTATTTCCATAACTCATAAGGTGTTTTCTTTATTTTCTTATGATTTATCCTATTTTGTAAAAAACATGCAAACAAAATAGCTTCACCCTACAAGATATCAAGTGTAAAAGAACTCACAAGCAAAGCATTCATCATTTCTTTTAATGTTCTATTTTTTTTTCTGCAACACCATTAGACTCGGGAGAATAAGGAGGTGTTATCTCATGTATAATTCCTTCTTTTCACAAAAATCATTTAACAAAACATATTCTCCACCTCTATCAAATCTAAACCTTTTAATCCTTTTGTTTAACTGATTTTCAACCTTTGCTTTATATAAAAGAAATTTTTCAAAAGCCTTATCTTTGTTTCTTAACAAGTATACCTTAGTATACCTTGAAAAATCATCAATAAAAGTGATATAATATTTTTTACCACTTCTAGTCATGGTTTGTTTTAAATCACCTAAATCAGTGTGAATTAAAGACAGAAATTCAAATTCTCTTTGACTAGAAAAGTGAGGCTTTTTACTTTGTTTAGTTTTTGCACATACTTCACATTTTCCAAAATCATTGTTTTTAATTTCAAAAAGTAGTCCAAGTTGTCGCATCCTATTTATATAACCTTTACTAGCGTGACCTAGTCTAGCATGCCACAAATCAAAGGAATCAACTATATAAACAGGCATATACTCAGAAGATTTAGTCTTATTCATTTCATCAACATTCAAAATAAACAGTCCCTGATTACAATACCTTTTGCTCACAAACACATTATTTTTTGTCATTACAATCTTGTCAAATTCAAATGATACTTTAACCCCAACTTTTCCTAAAAGAACAATTGACACTAAGTTAGCTCCAACTTCAAGCACATGTAGAACATCATTCAGAGCTAGAGTCTTTCCTGATGTGAGCTTTAAGACCACTTTCCCTTTTCCTTAAACTTTGGTAGTTTGGGAATTAGTAAGGTAAACACGGTCTTCCCCTTCCTTTATAAGATTATAGGAGGTAAATATCTCCTGGCTAGCCCATATGTGCCTAGTAGCCTCGGAGTCTACCACCTATTTCTTCACTCAGAAATTAAGAGAGCTTGTGACACCACTGCAGCAATGATGTCATCATCACGGTCACCATCTTGTGGTACCAAATTTACATTTGGCTTTCGAGGCTTATCACGGTTTGCTCTCTTCCTATACTGTGCTGCATAGTGTCCTAGTTGACCACAGATAAAACAGTCCCCTTTCTTCTTAAAAGAGGGTTAGAAGCATTAGGTTTATAATCAAATTTCCTATTCTTTTTGTCTTTAGTTTTAAGGTCATGCCTCTTGTTGTGAGGCTTTGTCTCCACCAGATTGGCTTTAGATGTCATCTCTCTAGTTCAAGCTGTACGTACTGCCTTGCAGTTGGTGTCTTCGATGATGATGTGAGTGATCAGGTCAATCAAGGACAGTCACTTCTGTTTGTGTTTCAGCTACTATTTATAATC